GGCCTTGTTCGATGCCACGGGCGAGCATGCCGGCGTCGATGCTCCATGGCTGACGACCGCGCGCAGGGACATTGATGTACCTCAAGGAGCCACCGGGGGAGACCTATGCTCGCTTCGCGAGAGACTTTGCTGTCTCGATCGATCCCAACTTGGACATCAACCAGAGCTTCAAGCGCGTCATCTCCTCCTTGCCGCCCTTGGACTACTCGAACTTGCCCGAGGACGAGGAGAAGGTGCTGGAGATGGAGAAGGCATGGTGGAAGGAAGCGGTGTCACAGGTGGTCGGAGAGGAAGCAGCAGGAAGCGAGGTAGTCTCTTCTCGTTCTCCTCTAGCCTATGACCAGCATGCTCCCTCCAAGAACTTCGACGGCTACTTCGAGGCGCTCTTTCATCACTTTGGAAAGGGAACAGCATGGGCCCTGTACGCCGACCGATGGCTCTGTTGGATGGAGCTGAAGGAGGAGCAGGTACCCGGAAGCAACGACCTGCTTGCAAGAGCTAAGGGAGAGAGGATGGGAGGTCGGAATCCTGTCCAACTTTGACGCAAGACTCGAGCTCATCCTCCGTGACCTGAAGGTCTACCTTTCATCCCCTCCTCCCAGTGCTTCCTCAACCTCCCTCGATCCTGATCCAGTTCCTGCTCCTTTTTTTTGCGCGCTCACTGCCCCTCCCTTGCTTCCTCCTCCTCCTCCTCCTCCTCCTGACGTCTCTCGTGCACAAGGTCACAGAGCTTGCAAGCTTCATGGTCCTTCCCAAGAGCGCTAGAGCGCTGAAACCGCAAGAGGAGGCGTTTGCTGCAGCAGTCAGGGCGGCTGATGAAGTTTGGGGAGGGGAGAATCAAAGTTCTCGCATGCTGCGATGCCTGCATGTCGGAGACAGGTGCCGCACCCTCCTCGTCCTGCTGCTCGGTTCCTCCCACATCTGCGATTTCTTCACTAATGCTGCTCGTCTTCCTCCTCCTTCCCCTCCTTCCCCTCCTCCTTCTCCTCCTCATTTCTTGCTGAAACTTTGCTATCGTCAGAACATCTTCTATGCAGCTCATACTCCTTCCCCTCCTCTGTCTTGACCTCTTCGTTCCTTTTTCCTTGTCACCTTGCTGCTGCTCCTGTGCTTGACTGTCAACCAGCATCCCCTGCGATGTCGAAGGAGCTCTCCGCTGCGGGATACACGCAGTCTGCGTGAGTGTCTTGTGAGAGGAGGAGGAAGAAGATTATGACGAGGTTGTTCAGGTTGATAGGAAGGGAAAACATTCAGATGGACTTCCGCAGTATCCGAGCGAGCAACATGACGTTGTCGCTGATCTGTCGAAGGTGTGTTGGGTTGTCGATAGAGATGGAGATGATGGCGGAGATGAAGATGGAGATGATGATGATGATGACTATGATGGTAATAATTATGATATGAGAACAACTCAACCATGAGAATCGCAGAAATGATGATGAAGATGGAGGTGAAGCATGGGAATGGAAGTGAAAGTGGAGATTGAGATAGAGTTGATGATGTAGCTGTTGTTTGAAATGACTTTGAATCCCTTCAGGTCCCTGAGATTGCAGAGCGAGTGCATCCTCGGATCTTGTTTAGCAAGCAGCAGAGCTTCATCAAATCCCTCGATGACATCTCCTAAGATTAAATCATCGCGTTCTCAAACACTTGAGCGTGCATGTGAAAGATCATTTACACTCCACGTATATTTTCATCCACCTTCGTCCTCCATTCCAATTCCTCCGCTTTTCTGTCCTCTCCTCCTTCGCTTCTCCTGTTTCCCTCTTGCTCCATTGTCTCGTCTCTCCGTCTTGAACATCCTAACTGCAATCTCTTTCTCTATTTACAAACGCCCAGATCACCAGAAAGGGCACCATCCTACATAACTTTGACTGAGATTCTCTT